ACACACACACACACACACACACACACACACACACACACAAGTCTAATTGTGCCATAAATCACCAGAACCACAACCATGACCTGGCCTCGCTGTGGAACACGTGTGTGGCCTCGGTCTGGGTTCAGAAACCAATCCTGAATATTTATCTCGTCGCTCCTCTCCTCAGGTGGTTCTGTGGTCCGAACCCGACCCAAACCCAAACCCTGAACTCAAACCAGTGGAATAAAAGGTCAGAAGGAGTAGGATTAATCTTTTAAAGCAGTTCAGTGAGTATGAATGGGTTCGTGTCGTGAACTCACCCAGGTCTGCAGACGTGTAACGCTGTCCTCTGAAGCAGACGGCGTCGTCCTCGTAAACGGGTCGGGCCAGGTTCCGGCGCTCGCACAGTCGGCACAGCAGCTGCCTGGGCGTCAGCTGGTCCCGCCACTGGTTTACCCCTGATCTGATGGGAAGACGTTCACGTCAGCTGACGGGCCGCAGCGAGGCCAGCACCGGAGCGGATCGGGGGGCGCCCACTCACACGCAGTAGGTCTGAGGCAGGCCGCACAGGGCGCCGTGTCCCGACAGGAAGCGGTTCTCCAGGTCGATCACCGTCTCGCCGATCTTCTCGTCTTTGGTCAGCATGTCGTGGTCGTACAGCATCACCCTCAGGTCCTTCTCCAGAGGGAGGGAGCAGGTGAGCTCGAACATCCTGACGACAGACAGACGAGGCAGAAACATGGTTAGAGTTCGACCAGCTCACAGGAAGTCCCACCGTCTGAGTCTTCAAAGGGTTTCACACAACTACAGCTCAATCTGATGAGTTAACAATGATAACCAGTGTGAGAGGATCAAGAACAAACTATATTTTTACAAATGTTCAACAGCTGGTTATATTTTACCACAGTGACTCTGCTCCGTTTGTTTTTAAATCTACAGACAGACGAGTCAAACCCACCTAAACTTCAGTTCATCCCTTAAACAGTCGAAGGAAACTGACTTCTCTTTCTGCTCCTTTTGGCTACAGGGGTGGAAGTGTTAGCCTCTGTTTTGCTAGTTTTAGCTAAAGCTTTGCTAATTTTAGCTTCTGTTCTGCTCATTTCAGCTCCTATTCTGCTAATTTTAGCTTCTATTATGCTAATTATAGCTTCTTTTCATTTTGCTTGTATTGCTTGTTTCATCTTATGCTTTGCTCATTCCAGCTTTTGTTCTGCTCATTTTAGCTCATATTCCGCTCATTTCAGCTTCTATTCTGCTAATTTTAGCTTTTGTTCTGCTCATTTCAGTTTCGATTCTGCTAATTTCAGCTTTTGTTCTGCTCATTTTAGCTCATTTTCTGCTCATTTCAGCTTCTATTCTGCTCATTTTAGCTTCTTTTCAGTTTTTAGCATGTATTTCTTGTTTTATCTTGTGCTTTGCTCATTTCAGCTTTTGTTATGCACATTTCAGCTTCTATTCTGCTACTTTTAGCTTGCTTCAGCTATTTTTTTAGCTTGTATTGCAATTTTTAGCTTGTTTTTCTGATTTCAGCTGATGTTCTGCTCATTTTAGCTTCTAGTCTGCAATTTTTTTTAGCTTGTATTGCTTGTTTTGGCTTCTGTTTTTTTTTTTTCATTTCAGTTTCTGATCTGCTCATTTTAGCTTCTATTTTGCTCATTTCAGATTCTATTATGCTAATTTTAGCTTCTTTTCAGTTTTTAGCATGTATTGCTTGTTTTATCTTGTGCTTTGCTCATTTCAGCTTTTGTTGTGCACATTTCAGCTTCTATTCTGCTACTTTTAGCTTGCTTCAGCTTTTTTAGATGGTATTGCTTGTTTTAGCTTCTATTCTGTTAATTTTAGCTTTTTTAGCTTGTATTGCTTGTTTTAGCTTCTGTTCTGCTCATTTCAGCTTCTATTCTGCTAATTTTAGCTTTTGTTCTGCTCATTTTAGCTTATATTCTGCTAATTTTAGCTTCAATTCTGCTAATTTTAGCTTCTTTTCAGTTTTTAGCATGTATTGCTTGTTTTATCTTGTGCTTTGCTCATTTCAGCTTTTGTTGTGCACATTTCAGCTTCTATTCTGCTACTTTTAGCTTGCTTCAGCTTTTTTAGATGGTATTGCTTGTTTTAGCTTCTATTCTGTTAATTTTAGCTTTTTTAGCTTGTATTGCTTGTTTTAGCTTCTGTTCTGCTCATTTCAGCTTCTATTCTGCTAATTTTAGCTTTTGTTCTGCTCATTTTAGCTTATATTCTGCTAATTTTAGCTTCAATTCTGCTAATTTTAGCTTCTATTCTGCTAATTCTAGCTTTTTTCAGCCTTTTAAGCTTGTATTGCTTGTTTCGACTTCTGTTTCTTTCATTTCAGCTTCTGTTCTGCTCATTTTAGCTTCTATTCAGCAATATTTTTAGCTTGTATAGTTCATTTCAGTTTCTGCTCTGCATCTGTTTAGCTTGTTTCAGCTGTAACATCTCAGTATCAGCAGCAGATTTCAGCAGTTATTCACGCTGCATTTTGCAGAAACTGTTGTTTTTTTAAAGGAGAAATGATTTCCTAAATTCTTCTGAATATTTTAGCTCTGAACAGGTTTCAGGCAACATGTGGATCAGGAGGTCAGATGCTCTTTACTCTTTGGCTACATTTTAATTTAATGTTTTTTTTATTTTATTTTATTATTTTTTTTTTTTTTCATTTTTAAAAATGATGAAAAATGCTTAATTTTGTCTCCCTTGAGTTCCAACATGAAGCTTCAGGAGGTCTTCGGCTGCTGTGGAGCTGATCCGGTCTCTGCTCTCTGTGATTGGTTGGGGTGCAGCGCCCCCTACTGGAGACCCCACAGTGAGCAGGGATGAATCTGTCGGCTGATGTGATAAATGGAGTCATTAGTGCCGTTTGTTAAAACGCTTCGTGTTCATGGAAAAGATGTGAGTCACGTCTGTGAGCTGCAGATCTGCCCACAGATGAACACATGAGGTGAGGTCACCACAAAACAATTAACAAGGTCAAACATTCGATATTAGGAGCGTTAAAACTGAAACATGTTCGGTTTCACTGAGTCAACAGTTTGGTCTGAGTTGTTCAGGAGTGTGATCGTTTTGTTTTTGTTGAGTAAATGTGAGAAAAAAAAGAGTTTGTATTTGTAAAAACTGTTTTTATCAGTTAAAGAGAAACTAAAACAAAACTTGTGATAAAAACGGCTGAAAGTTGTTGAACAAGATGCAGCTGCTCAGGATGAGTCTGGATTTGAGGCCTTTTAAAGACTTCATCTGGTTTCTGGGAATAAAATGTTTGAAAGTCTCTTTTTTATACGAACAAGCCAAAGAAAAAAAGAGGAACAGAAAAGTTCCTGAAGGAAACTGCAACATTAACTAAAGAATAAAGCTTAATGCTGAAACATTTGAGAAAAAAAAGTATAAAAATTATGCAATTTGTTGTAGAACAGCCAAAAAAGCTGAAATTATAGAAAAGTCTCTGAAAAAGCTGAAACTAGCACAAGGAAGCAGCAAGAGCACGTTTTTTGAATTAAGCAGTAGCTGAAGTTTTCACAAGAAAACGAATTTGGCTGAAAAAATATCAAGTTAGCTGAAATAGCTAAAAATAGCTTAAAGTACAGAAAGCAGCTGAAAGAAGCACGCAAAGCTTAAATTAGCAGAAAGAAGCTAACAGAAGAGCAAAACGGTTAAATCGACAGAATAGCTGCAAAGAGCAGAAATAGCTGAAAAAGATTTTAAAAAGCTAAAATTAGCTCAATAAGGCTGATATTAGCACAAAAGTAGCTAAAAAGTGGCTGAAAAAGCTGAAACCAACACAAAAAAGTTGAAAGCATGTTTGCTGAATTAGGCAGTAAGTAGCTAAATTTAACACAAAATGGTAAGTTTAGCTGAAAAAAGACGAAATTAGCTGAAATAGTTCAAATTAGCTTAAATTACAGAAAGCAGCTGAAAGAAGCATGCAAAGTTTAAATCAGGAATATAGCTGAAAAAAGAAGAAAGATTGGTGAACAAGCAGAAAAATTAAAAATTAAAATTAGCAAAGAAGAACCTGCACAAAGAAGTTAAAAAGCAGAACCAGATCAAAAGGAGTAAAGTGCAGTAAAGGTTTCTAAATATTTTATTGGGTTTTATGGATATTGAAAACAATAGCAGAAAAAGCTAAATATCTAAAAAAAAAATTATTGCTGAAACACCAAAAGTCAAAGCTGGAATGCGTAAACATCTGTTATAAGAGTCACTGCAGAACAAGATATGTGTCAAAAAACGTGCAGAAGAAAAAAATGAGGCAAATCAGGGACGACTGTCAGCTACTACCACACTGAAGTTTAGCTCAGTGTCTGTCAAACTTATAGCATTTTTGTGTTGACTGATTTAGATTAGCCATGGCGGCCATCTTAACTCAATACGTCTAATGATGAATTTCTGTGGGTTTTGTGAGATATTTTGCTAACAGACAGTTAAAGCCAGAGTTTTTTAGTTAAAGCCAGAGTTTTTTAGTTAAAGCCAGAGCCCCACAGCGGCCGAGGTAATGACAGATCACAAAAAACCCAGACACCATCAGCAGACAAAAACAGGTCAGCTTTGTCAGCCTCCATCTTCCGGTGGATCTCCGAGAAAAACAGTCGACTGCAGCAGGCAGTCCTCCGGTCCCCGTAGCTGCCCTTCGACAACGCCAATTTCTGTCGTCGCATGATTTACCAAGAATGCAGAAACACGTTGGAATGCACAGAAAGTCTGCGTGTATGGTGGTCAATAATGATTTAATTGTGAGCAACAAACAAACAGGACCCAGTCAGGAAGCTCTGTCGGCTTGTGTCTGACACGTCAGCGGAAAGCAGCCAATAATATACACCATGATAACATCAAGGACGTGCTTATAACCAATCACAGATCGACGAATGTACTGTCCAGCCAATCACAGGGCTCTCAGCTCAAAGAGTTTCTTATCRAACAAGAGAGGTCAGTCCGTTGCGGAGTCCTGACGTCTGGGCAAACAGATTTGACGATGATCATAAGATATATGCATACTGGACAGTGCCAAGGTGAAACATATAGATAATTAGTCCATAACACACTCTGAGGATGTATTCTGGATGACTCTCAGCTACTACCACAACAAAATTTAGCTGCACCGAGGCCATTTTTGTTTTTCCTGTGATGGATTAGCTGTGGCAGCCATCTTGAATCGAATGATCGTTAACATCGTTAGATTGTAAAATGCACCTCTCTCATTTACCGTTAAAACTTTAGAAACCTTCGTGATTCAAGACAACTGAAAGTTAAATGATTTGGTGAAAATTTATAAGCTGAACTTTGGGTTCAGTTTCTAAAACGGGTACGATTTGGACAGAATATTTCTTTAACTGGTCATACGTACTTTCCAAAGACCGGGTCCAGGGTGCAGGGCACGTAGTTCTCGTGATCATTCAGGGTCTTTTTCCCCAGAGTGATCTTCACGTAGGGGTCACACTGAAAAACATCTGATTCATGAAAACACGTTCTCTAAAAGCTGCAGCAGATTCAGTTTTTGTGGATTCAGGTACCAAAAGCGACGACTCAGGTATTTTCTTCGTACCTTGCCGTTGGCGTCTTTGGGCTGCAGGCCCTGAGCCTGGATGACGTAGACCCGGACCAAACACTCCTCCACGCTGTTGGGAGGAAGCTTCCTGAAGCGTCTGTGGGGAACGGGAGCCGAGGGGTCGTCAGGGACCGGGTAGATCTTAAACATACCCTGGTCAACACAGAACAGGGACTTTAAGGAGTCAGAGACCTTGAAGGAATGCAAATCACCTTTCATACCAGGGTGTTGGACTAAGACCAGCCTACACTGAGAAGTGAGTTGTAGCTGGTTTGGTGTAGAGTTTGTGTTGTGAATGACTCAAACTACTACACCACATTTTAGCTCATAGTTGGTAAAACTAGACGAGTTGAGGCCATTTTTGTGTTTGCTGAGGTTGATTAGTTGAGGTGACCATCTTGAACTTCAGTGGTGGACACAATTCTGCTAATCTATTAATAGCGGAACTGGCTTCTCATTTAGCAAATTAGCTTTTTTGCTAACTTGAGAAACTGTTAGCAAACCTATTAGCTTCTGCTAAATTAGGTTCCTCTAATTCTAGGTCCACTAAAAAATTTACAAAGTTTAAAACTATTTTTATGCCATTTATCCCAAATTTATTAAAACTGTCTCCTCAGGCATCTTGTCTGTTAGCATGAGGCATCTTTAACAGCGAAACTTCAAATAAAGAACGTCAAAAAGAAATAAAATAACATTTATAAACATTTAAATAACAAATACAATAATTAACCACAAATAAAATATGGTAGAGAAAGTATATGATATTATTCGGTATTATAAAAATACAAACTCGATCAAAAAAATGCCTTTATTCTGAAAGGGGTAAGCTGGAAGTAAGTTAGACAGAGCTGTATAGCTCTGGTTTGGATTGGCCGATTTGCCAGAAAGGATCCCGCCCACCTTCAAATTAAACCAATAGAAAACTAACAACAGGTTTGTATCAGTCCCACCAGCTTTCAACTGGAAGGAGATGAAGACTTAGCAGTTAGCTTTAGCTTCCTCAAAATTGTTTAATCCTGTTTAGCAGATCAGCGTTAGCAGAGCTAAGATTTTTGTTTAGCAAATTAGCATAAGCTTCAGCTTCAATTTTTTTAAACTCTTTTAGCAGATTAGGGTTAGCAGAGCTAAGATTTCTGTTTAGCGGATTAGCATTAGCTTCATCTTCTTCAATTTTATTTTACTCTTTTAGCAGATTAGCATTAACAGAGCTGAGATTTTTGTTTAGTGGATTAGCGTTAGCTTCATCTTCTTCAATTTTATTTTACTCTTTTAGCAGATTAGCATTAACAGAGCTGAGATTTTTGTTTAGTGGATTAGCGTCAGCTTCATATTCTTCAATTTTTTTTACCTGTTTAGCAGATTAGCGTTAGCAGAGCTAAGATTTTTGTTTAGCAGATTAGCATTAGCTTCAGCTTCTTCATTTTTTTTGTACCTGTTTAGCAGATTAGCGTTAACAGAGCTAAGATTTTTGTTTAGCAAATTAGCGTTAGCTTCATATTCTTCAATTATTTTACCTGTTTAGCAGATTAGCATTAGCAGAGCTAAGATTTTTGTTTAGCAGACTAGTGTAGCCAACTTAGCTGTGCTCACCGATGTTGAACTTGATTGACACCAATGTTTAATTAGCCCTACATGTAAATCCAGTCATTAATTTGTAAAAGTTCCAGTAAAATTCGACAAGTAGCCTATGAGATATGTTGCTAACAGACCTTGTGTGATCAGTAAGTGCTCTGACTTTGTCTCGGAGAAGACTTGAAGCTACCCTCACATCAGTCTCTGTCTAATCTGAGAAATGTAACTTTACCTTGAACTCTCCGACCACCGACGGGTCCTCTCCTTCATCCTGAGTTTTTCCTCGGAACAGTTTGAATGTCTGACAGAAATCAGAGAGACCCTCGAAGCCCTCGACCTTCTCCAGCTGCCGGTCGTACACCTGAGGAGGAGAACAATTGCACTTTCAAATCTTTCAAAATGAACTATTCTTTATATCCAGACAAAAACATTTATGAATAAACTGTAAAGGATAAATGTTAAAGATGTGGACCAACATCAGGCTAACTGTACAACTGTCCTGTCCTTTTGTTAAAGTCTGGGCAGAGACGTCCATCTGTTTTCATTAGTGATTGCTTAAACACACTAGAGACGAGATATGTAGCCAAAAAAATAAGACAATTGCACACAAATTATGTCCTTTTATTTATTTATTTATTTTAAAGAAACAGAGAAAAAATATGGGAAAATCCTTTTTTTCTTCACAGAGAAAACTGCATCAGAGTTAGAAATACAAACATCTTAAATCTGTATTTTCAACTGAAATGAACTGTTCTGAGTTGATGCAGGTTTTCTGGACAAGTTATGAATATCTTACCTGTTGTAGATAGCTTCTTGAATTCTGACGTGCTTGATGAGCTAATGGCTAATTAGAGAAGAACCAGGACTGGAAGTGGATTATCGCAGTTAACCTCTAAAACTGACTGAGTTAGAACAACTTTTGGTCAGTGGTGGGCACAGTCCCGCTAATATTAGCTTATCATTTAGCAGATTAGAATTTTTTGCCAACTTTGGAACCTCTTAACGGACCGGTTGGCTTCCACTATGTAAATATATAAAAATGGACTTGAATTGATCAGATTTTAGAGATACTGAACTAAAATTTGGTGTGGTGGTAGCTGAGACTACCCATCACTGACGCTGAATGCTAACAGTGTGAGATTTCACCTATTAGGTCATCTTATTTTAAATCTTTGATATGATATGTTAGGTTTTTAATTTTCCTGATGTTTTTTTTCATTGTTACCACATAAGTTTCACTTTTTATTTATTTTAAGTACTTCTGTTTTCTTCTCATGCTCTTTCCTCGAAGCACACCGCCACGATTTCCAGACCATCTATTTCTTCGGTTGATGACTCATTGAGATCATTTTTTGGGGGGGATCCCAGCAGCAGGACCGATTTGCTGAAAAGGCAACTGACTGATGTCAGAATGTCTGAAACCACTGATCGCATCAGTCGCTCATCATCGAAGCCCGTCTTTGGTCACGTTCCATCCCCAGAGCCTCCTCTCCGCTGCCATCACCCACGCTCTGCTCAGCTCTAATCTCAGTTCTCTCGGTCCAAACGGCGACCTTTTATTCCATCTGGACTCAAAGCACACGTCAGTCGTCTTGTCCGGTGTCCAACGGAGGACTCATCACGTCGGCACAAGGCCGTAAATCAGATTCTCAGCGATTTCTTAAAACTCATATCAGTGCTGCTGCTTGGACTCAGTTTGTGTTTCTTCTGCCATTTTGCTCCCAGAGGAAACTTCTGGTTCATGTTTGGAACCGTTTAACTAGTTTTCCCTGACGTGAAGCCCACGTGAGCCAAACAAGAGTTACATTTTAACATTTCGATGGTTTGACTGGTGTCAGAATTGTTTTTACAGTGAAACAGAAGGAGAGTCGTGGTTAACATGTCTCCATGTCAAAATGAAGCAACCAAACAAGGAAACAATCTTCGTGACGTTTTTGTTGACAAACATCTTGTGGTGGTAAACCTGTAGATTAGTTAACATGTTTAGAGACAAACGTATCTTCACTTCCTGTCAGCGAGGAACTGATTAACCTTTGGAGGCATCCAGATTCTCAACTAATCGACCAAAAGCAGAGATTTCAAAAGTAAAATCTGGCTTGTTGCAAGAAAAATATAAAACAGATAAAAAAAATTGGGGCAAATAGAAACTTTAGGGCTAGAGTACATTTTTAAAAGTGTGTTTTTGTTTTTATATTGATCTATTAAACCTAAAGTTTCACAGCAGCTTTTTGAGTAATAAACCATTTTCAACTATGTGATTTGTTTGGCTTATAGGGTGTTTTACATGTTAAATCCTTGATTAAACGAGTGTTTACAGCAGGTAAAATAAGTATTGAACACGTCACCATGTTTCTCAGTAAATATATTACTAGAGGTGCTAATGACATGAAATTTTCACCAGATGTYGGTAACAACCCAAGTGATCCATACATACAAAGAAATCAAACCATAATGTCCAGAAATGACGTTATTTGTAATAATGTGGAATGGCACAGGGAAAAAGTATTGAACACACTTACTGAAATTTATCTAATACTTTGTACAAAAGCCTTTGTTGTCAATGACAGCTTCAAGACGCCTCCTGTATGGAGAAACTAGTGGCATGCATTGCTCAGGTGTGATTTTGGCCCATTCTTCCACACAAACAGTCTTCAAATCTTGAAGGTTTCGTGGACCTCTTCTATGAACTCTGATCTTTAGTTCTTTCCATAGATTTTCTGTTGGATTCAGGTCAGGTGATTGGCTGGGCCATTCCAGCAGCTTTAGTTTCTTTCTCTGAAACCAACTGAGAGTTTCCTTGGCTTTGTGTTTGGGCTCATTGTCTTGCTGAAATGTCCAGCCACGGTTCATCTTCATCATCCTGGTAGATGGAAGCAGATTTTTATCAAGAATGTCTCTGTACATTTTTCCACTCATCCTTCCTTCAATTATTTGAAGTTTGCCAGTACCATATGCTGAAAAACAGCCCCACACCATGATGTTCCCACCTCCAAACTTCACTGTTGGTATGGTGTTTTTGGGCTGATGTGCAGTGCCATTTGACCTCCAAACATGATGTGTATTCTGGCATCCAAACAGTTCAATGTTGGTCTCATCTGACCAGACTATATTCTCCCAGTATTACACAGGCTTGTTTAAATGTTGTGCAGCAAACTTTAAAGGAGCTTCAACATGCTGTTTCTTCAGCAGTGGAGTCTTGCGTGGTGAGCGTGCATACAGGCCATGGTGGTTCAGTGCATTACTTATTGTTTTCTTTGAAACAATCGGACCTGCTAATTCCAGGTCTTTCTGAAGCTCTCCACAAGTGGTCCTTGGCTCTTGGACAACTCTTCTGATAATTCTTTTCACTCCTCTGTCAGAAATCTTGTGAGGAGCACCTGATCGTGGTCGGTTTATGGTGAAATAATGTTCTTTCCACTTCTGAATTATGGCCCCAACAGAGCTCACTGGAACCTTCAGAAGTTTAGACATTCTTCTGTAACCGATGCCATCATTATGCTTTGCAACAATAAGGTTGTGAAGGTCTTGAGAGAGCTCTTTACTTTTACCCATCATCAGATGTTCTTGTGTGATACCTGGCCATCATTTGGGACTGAACCAGCTGATATTAACTTGCACTGACAAGGGGCAGGCTTGTTTTCTAATTACTGAGAGAGTTCAGCTGGTGTCTTGGCTTTCCATGTCTTTTTACACCTCCCTTTCTTCATGTGTTCAATACTTTTTCCCTGTGCCATTCCACATTATTACAAATAACTTCATTTCTGGACATTTATGGTTTGATTTCTTTGTATGTATGGATCACTTGGGTTGTTACCAACATCTGGTGAAAATTTCATGTCATTAGCACCTCTAGTAATATATTTACTGAGAAAAATGGTGACGTGTTCAATACTTATTTTACCCGCTGTGTATGTTTTTACACTAATATAAATTGAAAGTATTTACCTTCAGCGTGTCGAAACCTTTCTCCAGGTACGTCCCACACTTGTTTTTATCTCCGATGGATGCGTAAAACTTGCTCCACCAGTCAATGGACTCCTCCACCTGCAGCCAAAGGTTCAGAGGCAGAAAATAGTTAAATAAATGTAACATGGTGAGTTTGTAAAAGGGTATAAAACACCACTTTATGAACATTACATTTGTTTAACGGTTATTCTACATTTTTTCCTATCATTACTTCGGGTTGGTATGTTTTTCCAAAGAATTACAAAGTAACATTTATTTAAATATATGTTTGAAGCTCTTAGTTAAACATTTGCATTGGATTAAAATCAGTTTGCTCTTTACTTCTGCTGCCTGACATGTAATCTCAAGTTGAACTGAGAAAAAAAAAGTGACACCAGAAGTTCATTTCTTCAACCACCAAGTCGTCTGCGGAGGCCTACAGGGGATGACATCACAGGGAGTCTGAAACCGTCTGACAGCTGAACTCCTTCACAAACCTTTGACCTTTCAAACACATTCGGAGGCCCGAGTTTGGGTTCTGTTTGAGGAGCCGGGATCAGAAATAACCAGCTTTTCATGATTTTTTCCAATGATCGCATAACGAGACGGAGTTGGCCAACTCACGTCAACACAAGTGAAAGTCGTCTCTGGTGGCTCTGTGGCATTAAGGTCATGGTATATGGCTGTTTGAGGCAATGGAAATGTGCAAGAGTGCAGCTGGAAGAGGCACAAAGTGGGCAAAACCAACATCACACCAGAGGAACCGTGTTATTTTTGAGAAGAAAAAAAAAAGTTGATGCATGAAGAAAAGGATCATTCTGCTGCTGTACTGATTATTTTCTGTTTCCGAGTCCATAGGAACTTTGGCCACGTCTTTTGTGTCTTTTCTACATGGTTCAACCCTCCTGCTGCCCTCGGGTCGTAACCACCGGCGGGGCCTCGGAGGCCACGTGTCTCGTTTTGATCCGAGGGCAGCAGGAGGGTAAAGAGGAGCAACAAGTGAAAACAAAACCAGCTGCGATTTATGCAATAACAAGTTGTTTTTTTTCAAGGAGTCAGTCGAGTAGAACGGCTTGGCTTTCAGGTCTTCAGACCAATCCAAGTTGTAAACTTTGGGTTTGAACTCTACCATCCTGCAGCACCGAGTTCAAAACCATTTAACATCCAACAAAGCAGCGGTTGTGTTCCTTTTTTCCAGCAACACAGAAAGTTTCACATTTTAGAGCAAGTTTCATCTCGTTTAAACCACGTTTCTGTTTCTGCACTCTGTTTTAACTACCACAGCTGCAGCCACTCTTCCTATCATCCCCTGCTCTGTCTACACGTCTGGTCCTCCTCCCTGTGTTTTCCTTATGTTTGGACATTTTGCTACCTCGTCAGTGTTTTGTTTGTTTTTTATAATTAAAAAAGTTTTGATTTTCAAACTCCTCGCATACGTTCATACACTCCTGGAGCCGTGGGTTTTGTTCTTAGACCGGTGATTTTTAGGTGTTAAACAATTTTTAAAAAAAAGAGAGAAATGTGACAAAAAAAGACTTAAACTCACCCACTGTAACATCTGCCGTCCGCAGCGACAATTAAAGACAAAGATCAAGTTTAATCCTGTGTTTGCACACAGCTGTTACAAAATAAACAAGTGATCTTTTGTACAAAAGGTTTCATTTTGATCAAATTCACGAGCTAATCCATGCAAAGAAGGTTAAAGAGGACTGCCACCATTTTACAATGTTTAATCGAAAACATGTCGTAATGTTATAAACGGTATTTCATCAATCTTGACATCTCAAACAAACTTGTGTTGTAGTTATTTCAGCAGGAATGTTACAACATTTGTTTAAATATGAAAGAAAAAGTTCAAACAGTAAAATGTGAAGAAGCTCTGAGAACAAAGAAAGAAACCAGAAGAGAAAAACCTTAAAACAGAGCAGAAGGTTTCTGAATTTAAAGTTCAGTTTATTTTATTTTTGTATTTTGTAAGACCCTAACCAGACCCCTAACCAATTTTTTTTGTCATCCCACATTTGTTGGAGCCCCCAAAATGGACAGCGCCCTTAACATTTGCCTATAATGCCCATGCCACGGGCCAGCTGCCAGACTCCATAGTCTCCTAATAAACCAACAACCTGGTTACTGACATCTGCTGAATGCTCAAAACCACTGTGAATCCAGCAAGATCCATCACTGATAATAAGAAACCCAGTTAATTTCAACAGGTCCCTGCAAAGACCTGGTAATGTTGGAACAGAGAAACCTGTAAAACTGCAGGATGGTGACCCTCCAAGTCCAGGACTGGGCACCTCAGAGCTAAAGTTTGATTTGTTCGATCCACAACGTTTCACAATACTGCACATGGTGACATTTATCTTAATTCTGTTTCTTCTCAACATTATAAAACGATCGGACTTCCAAACTTTTATTGAGAGCTGGTAAATCTGAACATATTACAGCCATTCTCTATAACCTCCACTGACTTCCTGTCACCTACCTGTACCTTCAGTACAAGGTTGCTCTCATCACCCATCAATGTTTGAATGGAACCCTACCAGATTATCTGAAGGACCTTCTTCTTTCATGTTCATCCATCCATTCTCTCTGGTCACAGAACAGTAATCTACTCCACCTTCCATCAACTAAATTAAAGAGATCCATGATTAGTTGTAACATTAAACTTTATTTGACAAACATTTATTTTAACTGTAAAATAAGGATTGTAAAAATACTGTAGGCTGTTTAGTTTTGTACATTATTTAAAAATATATTTTAACATGGACAGAGCCATTTTATTTACACACAAAGCATTCTGGGTAAATGATGACGTGGATAGGTCCTCGGTGTGAGCGAGCTATATCC